CAAACAACCCAATTAAGAAGTGGGCAGAAGACAGGAACAGAAACTTTTCAAAGGAAGATGGACTAATGGCCAGCAAACATATGAAAAAATGTTCAACATCTCTAATCATTAAGGAAATGCAAATCCAAACCACAGTGAGATTTCATCTAACTCTAGTGAGAATGGCTTTTATCAAAAAGTCTCAAAACAACAGATTCTGGTGAGGATGTGGAGAGAAAGGTACACTTATACACTGTTGATAGCACTGCAAACTAGTACAACCTCTATGGAAAGTAGTATGGAGATACCTCAGAGACTTAAAAGAAGAACTAGCATTTGATCCAGCAATCTCATTACTGGGTATCTACCCAAAGGAAAAAAAAAGGACACTCTATAAAAAAGACATGTGCACTAGAATGTTTATAGCAGCACAATTCACAATTCACAATTTCAAGGATGTGGAAACAAGCCAAGTGCCCATCAGTGCATGAATGGATTAATAAAATGTGGTATATGTATACCATGGAGTCAGCCATAAAAAAAATGGTGATCTAGTATTTTTTGTAACAACTTGTATGGAACTGGAGCCCCTTCTTCTATGTCAAGTATGACAAGAAGGGTAAAGCACCACATGTACTCAATACTAAATTGGAACTAATCGATCTACACTTATGTGCACATATGGAAGTAAAACTCAAGGGAAATCAAGAAGGTGGGAGGGGATGGGTAAATTGACACCTATTGAGTACAATGCACACTAACTGGGTGAATGACACACTTATAACTTTGACTCAAACTGTACAAAAGTGAATTATGTAACTAAAACATGTGTACCCCTGTAAAATTCTGACATAAAAGAAGGGAAAAGGGCCAGGCACGGTGCCTCATGCCTGTAATCCTAGAACTTTGGGAGGCTGACGGGTGGATCATTGGAGCTTAGGAGTTTGAGACCAGCCTGAGCAAGAGCAAGACCCCATCTGTACTAAAAAAAGTAGAAATAAATTAGCTGGACAACAAAAAATACATAGAAAATATTAGCGGAGCTCGGTGGCACATGCCTGTAGTCCCAGCTACTCGGAAGGCTGAGGCAGTTGGATTGCTTGAGCTCAGGACTTTGAGGTTGCTGTGAACTAGGTTGACCCCACGGCACTCTAGCCTGGGCAACAGAGTGAGACTTTGTCTCAAAAAAAGAAAGAAGAAAAAGGAAAAAAACCCAAAATAATAGTCAAGGAAATTGGTCTGATAGTGATATGTGGGAGAGATGGGAGCTGGGGGATAACCCATGGGCTTGTCCAGGTATAAAAGGATAAAGGCAATGACAGTTACACTTAAGTGCAGTGAGAAAGGCTTATATCAAAAAGTCCCAAAAGGACAAAGTTGGTGTGGATGTGGAGAAATAGAATCATTCTCATATACTGCTGCTAGGACTGCAAACTAGTACATCCTCTATGGAAAGTAGTATGAAGATACCTCAAATAACCAAAAGCAGAACCACTCTTTGATCCAGGAATCCCATTAGTAGGTATTTACCCAAAGGAATAAAAAGACATTCTATAAAAAATACACCTGCACTCGAATGTTTATAGCATTACAATTCACAATTGCAAAGATATGGAAACAACCCAAGTGCTCATCAGTTCATGAGTAGAGTAATAAAATGTGGTATATGTATACCACAGAGTACTATTCAGCCATAAAGATGGGGAACTAGCACCTCTTCTATTATCCTGGGTGAAGCTGGAGCCCATTCTTCTACATGAAGTATCATAAGAATGGAAAAAAATCACCACATGCACTCACTATTAAATTGATACTAATCAATCAACACTTAATTACACATATGGAAATAACAGGTGGGAAGGGGGAGAAGAGGATGTGTAAATTCACACCTCATGGGTGTAGTGCACACTACCTGGGGGATGGGCACACTTATAACTTTGACTCAAATGGTACAAAAGCAATTTATGTAACCAAAACTTTTGTATCCATGAAACATTCTGAAATAATAAATAAAAAAGGAAAAGAGATAAGGACCAGATAGTGTGTCTCATTTGGAAAGCACTCTTTGGTTTGGAAGGAGCAGGGAGGAGTCAGTTGTCTTGCTCACCTGCATATCTTTCACAGTTAGTTATTAGACACAGAATATGTCCCAAATAGATATTTCTTAAATTGAACTGCATTAACCAGCCTTGCTTCAGAGTTCAATGAAGGCAGGGGAAACCACACTTTAAGTACTGTCGCAGGGCTTCCAGGAAAGCCTTTCAGCCTGGCTGGTTTCAGGCATTGTCCATCTTCCTACTTGTTACCCAGCAGTCTGTATGTGCTAATTGCAGCATCTATTAAGAACGCTTGTGGAAAGGTACACATCAGCCTGCACAGATTGTTAGGCAAGGTTGATATGGCACTGTGGGCTGACATTCCATCCAGGGAAAATAAGCTCATGGGCTGACCTGTGTCAATGCACTCTGACATACAAACTGACAAAGACCTTCATCTGCACAGAAGAGTGAAGTTCTCAGGAGCAGGGGACTTAGAGGTCAGACCAGAAAGTCTTATCATCAGGCACTGGGGATATTTTGTGGGATCTTGGCATTAGGAATACAATAATTGGGCCTTACGTGACAACTTTTTCTAGGCGAAGAATGATTTTTCTCTCGAATGTCAGCCCCACAAAGGGCAGTGATTTCTGTCTGTTTTGTTCACTGTTGTATCCCCAATGTCTGGCACATTGTAGGCACTTGACATAGATTTAATGAATGAATGAATATAATAGTAGTTCTTTTGGATAAAAGCAGCATCTTAACCTAAGGAATGGCCTTCTGGTGTTGTTGCGGTAGAGTAGATGAAGATGTCTTCTCAGAAGCTTCTTATGAAGGATCCAGCCACCCAGGCATTTAGTTCTATCTAGAATGGATTTCTCCACCAAATTCTGTATAAGGGATCTGCTTCTACCTGGCTTCAGTTGTCTTCCTCCCTTTTAATTGCTATTTGTAGCTACTATGCCATGGAGTATAGCTTGAACCTAAGTCTGGTTCTGTTCCTGCCTTTGCTTCTGCTCTTACTTCCTCTCATATCCTGTGTTCCTTCCCACTGGAACTGTTCCAAATATTCATCTTATTCCAGCCATCCAAAAGAAACGTTTTGACTTGTCTTAAGCTCCTAAGAAGAAAAGAAATGGTTCTTATCTCTTAAAGGCCTGCCTGTGGTACCCTTTTCATAGCAGGGCTTAGCTCACTTTGTGAAAAGTAGAGAAAAACTAATGGATTATTAGAGGGTGAGATTTTCATTGTTACTTATATACAGCATCATGTATATGAGATGTTTGCTTCAATGCCTTAGAATCACTTTTTGGACCAGGTCTGTTTTTAAATAAGCATCCCTCATAATGCCTGTTGATTATTAAATGGAAGCTATTAGCATATAGAAGACACAAACCTGACCTTTTGGAAGATGGAAAAAAAATTTACAATAGAGCATTTGCAGAAGGTGGTAAGTTCTGGGTAAAGATAAATTTTTCACAATTGGCTGTATATACAAAATGTATTCAAGTGGAGTGAGCCTTACTTTCTAAGCTCACTAGGTTAAGTATGCTCCCCTCACCTACTATGAGACAAAGGGAGAAAGAAGAATACACAGTTGAGAAGTAACTACTGTCTCTCTAGTTCTATCCCAAAGCGTCTTGGCCCCATAAGGCCACCCGCCAAAAGTCTTTTTTGATGGCAGAAATAGGGATGCATCTAAATTGCTTGATCTCAGCCTTTCAAAATAGAAATGTGGAAAAAGCTCAGGGTTAAGGAGGGAAAATATGGAGAGTTGACTAAAGCTGTTGAGACAGCTGGCAAGCTCCTTGGCTAATTACCCCTGACAGATTTTGTCACTCTACCTAGGGAACCACCATTCTTTTAGTTTGGCTCCATGGTTTTTCCACTTCCTAGTACTGGGGGGAAAAGGGCCATCTCCTTGATTCAAGCTGAGTCATCCAAGATCCAGAGACATCTTATTTAGCCTCCCCAAAGAAAGTTTTTTTCAGTTTCCCTCTGCCTTCATGATTTTAAATGGATAGTTTCGTCCTTTACCAACTGTATCTATCCATTTCTAATGATTCTAATAATTCTTAGTCTACCTTGGCCCAAGCCCTTTCCTTTTATTTTAATGTCTTCCTCAGAGCCAGAGGCACAAAGGTACAGGTATAGTGATTAAAAACATAGGGTCTAGAATCAGACTGCCTGGCTCCTATCCCAGCTCCTCTGCTTCTGAACTGTATGACTTGGGACAAATTCCCTAACTTCTCAAAGCCTCAGTCTCCTCTTCTATGAAATGGTGGTAATGATGGTATCAATGTGGCAGGAATAAATACAGTGTATTGGAGGCTCTTAGTACAGTGGCTGGTGTATAATAAGTGCTCAATCAATAGCTATTGCTATTATGTGGTAGGGAAATAGTCTTCCATCCCCACTCCAACATTTAGGAGGTAGAGATCTTTGCAAGTCCAAGGAATTTTACAGTCAAATTTTAATGATTATTTGTATATCCTTCAGTGGAAATCAACACTGAAAACTCTTTTTGAGATGCCCATGCCAGCATCCAACTTTAATCTGCACACTTGCAAGCACTTAAAAGCTATTTTTGACAGTAATCCAGCAGTGGTATTCAAAATGTATAGCTTAATCTTTATTATATATTTTTTTGATCCAGCTCTGCTGCCTGGATGTGCTCAGTATGAACGAGTTCTGCTTGCCATCATATCTCCCTCTTCTGAGACTTTAGCCAAGAAGGCTCTCAGAGATGATTTAGTTGCTATACCCACACCTCCCATTTTACAGATGGGTAACCAGAGACCTAGAGAGGATTAGACCAGGGTCAGCAAGTCACCCTAGAACCAGGTCTGACACTTTGTTTGTAGGGGCCTCTGGTTGAAGGCTTTCTAAATACCTAAGAAATTTAATTTATCCTTTTTCTACTTGGGTGGAAACTTCTCAGAGAAGGAGGCTAACTCATTCTTTTTCTATCTGCTTCCACAGCTCTGGGTGAATCAGGAGGATGGTGTGGAAGAGGGGCCCAGTGATGTGCAGAATGGGCACCTGGACCCCAATTCAGACTGCCTCTGTCTGGGCCGGCCACTACAGAACCGGGACCAGATGCGAGCCAACGTCATCAATGAGATCATGAGCACTGAGCGTCACTATATCAAACACCTCAAGGACATTTGCGAGGTAGCCATGTTGGTGCATGTCGGGGCACACAAGATGGGGTGGAGGACTGAAAACTCCCCTGGGTCCTGCCTGTGATAGTCTCAAAATCTTGGAAAAGGCAGCTGGACTGGACTCCCAGATTCTATTCAGTGAGGTGAAACTGTTCACTGCTCCCTTAGGATTTCTCAATATCTGTTTTTCTCATTTTTACTGTTTAAATTTCATATTCATTCATTCTTATTCATTTTATCTTTCCCCTACCCTTTCTCTCTCTTTCTCCCTCCATGGCTCCCTCTCTCTCTCTCTCTCTCTCCCCCTCCCACCCCCAAATCTCTATCTTTATCCTCTTAGTTTCTGATCTAGTTATAGCCACCTCCCATGTAAGGGCCTAAACTCACTCATGAAAGCAAAACACATCTCCCTCCATGACTGAATGTGCACAAGAGTCCCTGATGGGGGGTGCTTGTTAAGCATGTAGATCTCAGCTCCCTGACCCTCACCCCTCAAGTTGTGTATTATCAGTTGGGGGTAAGGCATCTCTAAGTTTATCGAGCATCTCTGGCAATGCTTATGCTCCTGGTCCTACTCCATCACTTGGAGAACACTGCTTGTGAATTTGAATAGAAAAGAATTTGAAGAGAAGAATCGACAGGAGATGAAGCCTCAGCTCCTTCAGTACATTCCTTAACCTTATCCTTCCATCTCTCTGTCTTAAGTGAAGATGAGAGACTTTTCCCTCACATTCTCTTGAGCTTAATAGAGAGGCAAGTTGGAATTTTCAAAGGGCATTTTAATAAATGATAAGGGAAAAGCAATGAGAAATGGAGAAAAGAATGCTTTTAAGAGGATTACACACACACACACACACACATGTAGACATGCATTTATAGCTTTCTTCTTGACCCAGGGAAAAACTGCTTTAAATATTTTTGTCTCCTTCCTTCCAGAGGAGGGTTCAGGACATACTTTCTGTCCCCAAGCCCAAGCGCCACTCTGGAGTCAGTAGTATAGCGCTAACATTTTTCAAAGTTCTTATTTCTTAAAAAAATTAGCCAAGTGTGTCAGCATGCAACTTTATTTATTTATTTTTTTATTACAGCATATTATGGGGGTACAAATTTTAAGGATTCAAATAATGCCCTTGCCCCCTTGCCCCCACAAGTCTGAGCTTCAAGCATGACCATCCCTGAGTTGGTGAACATCTCATTCACTATGTATGTATTCACCACCCTCCCCCCTCCCACCAGTCCAATGCCCAATTAATGTAGTTCCTATGTGTCCACTTAGGTGCTGCTCAGTTAATAGCAGTTGGCTGGTGAGTACATGTGGTGCTTGTTTTTCCATTCTTGGGATACTTCACTTAGTAGTATGGGTTCCAGGTCTACCCAGGAAAATACAAGATGTGCTATATCACCGTTGTTTCTTAGAGCTGAATAGTACTCCATGGTATTCATATATCACATTTTTTAATCCACTCATGAATTGATGGGCACTTGGGTTGTTTCCACAGCTTTGCAATTGTGAATTGTGCTGCAATAAACATTCGAGTGCAGGTGTCTTTTTTGTAGAGTGTCATTTGATCTTTTGGGTAGATGCCCAATAATAGGATTGCTAGATCGAATGGTAGATCCACTTGTATCACTTTAAGGTATCTCCATATTCCTTTCCAAAGAGGTTGAACTTGTTCGCAGTGCCACCATCAGTGTAGGAGTGTTCCTATTTCTCCGCATCCATACCAACATCTATTGTTTTGGGACTTTTTGATAAAGGCCATTCTTACTGGAGTTAAGTGATATCTCATTTGTAGTTTTGATATGCATTTCCCTGATGATTAGAGATGTTGAACATTTTTTCATATGTTTGTTAGCCATTATTCTGTATTCTTTAGAAAATTTTCTGCTCATGTACTTTGCCCACTTTTTGATGGGGTTGTTTGATTTTTTTCTTGCTGATTTTCATGAGTTCTAAGTAGATTCTAGTTATCAGTCCTTTATCAGATGTGTAGGATGTGAACATTTTCTCCCATTCTGTAGGTTGTCTGTTTGCTTTCATGACTATTTCTTTGGCTGTGCATAAGCTTTTTAGTTTGATCATGTCCCATTTATTTTATTTTTTTGTTACTGCTATGATTGCCTTTGGGGTATTCTTCATAAATTCTTTGCCTAGGCAAATGTATAGGAGAGTATTTCCAACATTTTTCTCTAGATTTCTAATAGTTTCATACCTTAGGTTTAAGTCTGTTATCCAGTGTGAGTTGATTTTTGTGAGAGGTGAAAGGTGTGGGTCCTGCTTCAGCCTTCTACAAGTGGCTATCCAGTTTTCCCAGCACAATTTACTGAAAAGGGATTCTTTTCCCCAGTGTATGTTTTTGTCTGCTTTGTCAAAGATTAGATGGCTATATGATGATGGTTTTATATCAGTGTTCTCAGATCTGTTCCTCTGGTCAATATTCCTATTTTTGTGCCAATACCAAATTGATTTAATTAGCACAGCTTTGTAGTATAGTTTGATATCTGGCATATTAATGCCTCCCATTTTGTTTATATTGCCTAGAATTGCTTTTGATATGCAGGGTCTTCTCTGGTTCCAAACCAAGCATAAAATTATTTTTTCCATTATCTGTCAAGAATGATGTTGGGATTTTTTTTATTTTAGCATATTATGGGGGTACAAGTGTGAAGGTTACTTATATTGCCCAAGCCCCCCTCCTCCCTCGAGTAAGAGCTTCAAGCATGTCCATTCCCCAAACGTTGCACATCTTACTCATTGTGGTTGTATACATCCCTCCCCCATCCCCCTTCCCCCGCCAGACACCCGATAAATGTTATTCCTACATGTCCACTTAGGTGTTGATCCGTTAATACCAATTTGCTGGTGAGTACATGTGGTGCTGGTTTTTCCATTCTTGAGAGACTTCACTTGGTAGAATGGGTTCCAACTGTATCAAGGAATATACAAGAGGTGCTATATCACCATTGTTTCTTAAAGCTGAGTAGTATTCCATGGTTTACATATACCACATTTTATTAATCAACTCATGAATTGATGGGCACTTGGGTTGTTTCCATAGCTTTGCAATTGTGAATTGTGCTACTATGAACATTCGAGTGCAGGTGTCTTTTTTGTAGAGTGACGTTTGATCTCTTGGGTAGATGCCCGGTAGTGGAATTGATGGATGAAATGGTAGATCTAATCATATCGCTTTGAGATATTTCCACATTGCTTTCCACAGAGGTTGAACTAGTTTGCACTCCAACCGGCAGTGTAGGAGTGTTCCTCTCTTTCCACATCCACGCCAGCATTTGTTGTTTGGGGACGTTTTCATAAAGGCCATTCTCACTGGAGTTAAGTGATATCTCATTGTGGTTTTGATTTGCATTCCCCTGATAATTAGAGATGTTAAACATTTTTTCATATGTTTGTTGGCAACTATTCTGTCTTCTGTGAGAAGACATGTCCTTTGCCCATTTTTTGATAGGGTTGTTTGATTTTTTCTTGCTGATTTCCCTGAGTTTGAAATAGATTCTAGTTATCAGCCCTTTATCAGATGTGTAGCTTGCAAAAATTTTCTCCCATTCTGTGGGTTGTCTGTTTGCTTTCTTAAGAGTTTCTTTGGCTGTGCAGAAGCTTTTTTAAAAATTTTTTTTTTATTTCGACATATTATGGGGGTACAGATTTTAAGGTTTCAATAAATGCCCTTTCCCCACTCCCCCCACAAGTCTGAGTCTCCAGCATGACCATCCCCCAGATGGTGCAAATCTCACTCGTTATGTATGTATATACCCGGACCCTTCCTCCCTCCTACCTGCCCAATACCCTATTACTGTAGTACCTATGTGTCCACTTAGGTGCTGCTCAGTTAATACCAATTTGCTGGTGAGTATATGTGGTGCTTGTTTTTCCATTCTTGGGAAACTTCACTTAATAGTATGGGTTCCAGCTCTAACCAGGAAAATATAAGATGTGCTATATCACCCTTGTTTCTTAGAGCTGAATAGTACTCCATGGTATACATATACCACATTTTATTAATCCATTCTTGGATTGATGGGCACTTGGGCTGTTTCCACAGCCTTACAATTATGAATTGTGCTGCTATAAACATTCGAGTGCAGGTGTCTTTTTGTAGAGTGTCATTGGATCTTTTGGGTAGATGCCAAGCAATGAGATTGCTGGATCAAATGGTAGATTCAATTGTATTGTTTTAAGTTATCTCCATATTGCTTTCCACAGAGGTTGAACTAGTTTGCAGTCCCACCAGCAGTGTAGGAGTGTTCTTCTCTCTCCGCATCCACGTCAGCATGTATTGTTTGGAGACTTTTTGATAAAGGCCATTCTCATTGGAGTTAAGTGGTATCTCATTGTGGTTTTGATTTGCATTTCCCTGAAGATTAGACATGTTGAGCATTTTTTCATATGTTTGTTGGCCATTCTTCTGTCTTCTTTAGAAAAGTTTATGTTCAAGTCCTTTGCCAAATTTTTGATAGGGTTATTTGATTTTTTCTCGTGAGCTCTAAGTATATTCTAGTCATCAGCCCTTATTGGATGCGTGGGATGTAAAAATTTTCTCCCATTCTGTAGGTTGTCTGTTTACTTTCGATGAGCTATTTCTTTGGCTGGTGCAGAAGCTTTGTAGTGTTGATCATGTCCCATTTATTTATTTTTTGGTTGCTGCTGCTGATTGCCTTTGGGACTTCTTCATAAACTCTTTCGCCAGGCCGATGCTCTAGAAGTGTTTCAGCTTTTTCCTAGATTTCTCTGGTTCTAATAGTTTCATATCTTAGTTTAAGTCGGTTATCCAGCGTGAGTTGGTTTTGTGAGAGGTGAAAAGGTGGTTGGGTCCTGTTTTACCCTTTCACAGGTGGCTATTCCAGATTTTCCCAGCACCATTTATTGGAAGAGGGATTCTTTTCCCCAGCGTATGTTTTTGTCTGCTTTGTCGAATGATTGAGCTGGCTATATGAGGGGATGGTTGTATATCAGGATTCTCACATCTTTCCACTGGTCAATATTCCTGTTTT